AAAAATATAAATGGAACAATGATAAAGAAGCTAGGGAATCGAGAATAAATCGCTTCCGGTTTTACACTCATTCAACGACAATCAATAACTCGTTAAAAGGCTCGACTAATTAACTCATTTAGCGATTCAACCATACTAACTCTCGTAATATATGAAAAAACATAAACGAGCAAATTAACGAAACAAATAACACATAGACAATACGTCTCCAAACATGTCTACTCTAAACGAGCCAAGTTCTATCAATTTCTCCCCTCTCGGTTATGAAATCGATTATTTTTACAACTCCTCCGCTCTCGGTTCTACAAGTTGCAATTCACAAAATTAATAAACTTTAACTTAACAAATCAATATCAAGCACAAATCAAAGTGTCACTCTTTGATTATATCATAAAATTAACCTAAGTGTCACTCTTAGGTTATAAAAGTTTACCAAGCTTAATTTATCAATTCATAATTAAAACAACTCGTCTAGATTGAATTATCGACATGCGTATAAACGAGCTTAAACCGGAATGATTATCCCCCGCCCCTAGCTAAAAGATTAGCTACATATAATAAATTCAACACAACAAAATATTTCTCCTAAATTAACCATTATGCATGAATTAATTTAAAGAGAAAGTAAACTTACATAACACTCTTCAAATGTCGAATCCATATACAAGCTTCTCCAAATACAACATACAATAAGAAAAGAAAATAAAAAGAAGAAGATGAAGAGGAAGAGGGGAAGAACCCCCCTTGGTTCAAGCTTGCATGGAAGGTGATAAATTACATAAAATGTTGCATTTTTACATAGATGAATATGTTAGCTATTTATAGAGTTGAATAAAACATAATTCATCTAATTATCAACCAACATAAACTAAAAATCAACCACAATTCACCTAAAAATCAACCACAATTTAACTAACAAAGAAAAAAATATAAGAAAAGGTGAAAGAAGGTAGGAAATTTGAGAGAAAATGTAGAATTTTCGGACAAAATCCGAGAGGGTATTTTTCCGCGCGCATTCGCGCACATCTCGGTCGGCTTTGCTTCTCGG